TATTAAGTTATTATGGAGGAAAACCCGTCTGACTGCTCGTAAAATATACGACAGGTCTGGACCACACGTGAATTTTGTTCGTATCTGAAAAAAATAGTAGAATATTTCGTAGAATACGAAAACATTGGTGAATGCCACAAATTCTCCTAAATCACTCGTACGCACAACTTAAGAACAAATCTGTGCGTACGAACGGTTCTTGCATGAGGCCCATTGTTCTGCTGGAAGTGGACTCTCCATCCAAGTCTCAAAACCTTTAACAGTTTCCCAGTCTCTAATGACCAAAAAAAAAACCATCTCCACATGACCCCACCACCACCATGCTCCACTGTAGGAACGATGTTCTCATAATGAGAGGTGGTAGAGTGGTCTCAGATATAGTGTTCTCCTCGATGGCCTAAAAGTTCAGGTTTAGAGAAGAAGTTCCAGACGTTATCTTTATCTTTTTGCCATCAGTCTTCCATAAAGCCCTCACTCTGTGCAGCTTCTGGTGGTCCTATGAACAGATCGTCATCTCTGCAGAAGAACTGCAGCTACATCAGGGTTGTCTCTGGCCTTTCTGGGTAGAGTTTGCATGTTTTCTTTGTTCACGTGTGGGTTTTTCCAGGTATTCTTGCTTCCTCCCACGGACCAAACACACAACTGTTTGACAACTAAATTGTGCCTAGGTGTGAGTGAGAGAGTGAATGATTTTTTGTCTCTGTGTGTGGCCCTGTGATGGACTTGCGACCTGTCCAGGTTGTACCCTACACAGGGACATGGGCACCAGTGACCTAGAAAGGAGGACGTGGGTAAAGACAATGGATTGATGGATGATGAAGTTTGAAGGGGTATTCAGGTTTCATGTTATTTTTTTATACCCAGTCATGATCTGTATTTTTCCACAACGTTGTCTCTGACCTATGTGGAGAGTTCCTTGGTCTTCATGATGTTCCTTGGTTGGTGGTAACCCTTTTGACTTAGATGTGTTTTGCTGAAGGCTCTAATAAGTATTTAGATAATTTGACACTTAGATTGCTCATAGATGGGTCTTATGATGCTTCTGAAATAAATGGTTGGGGCTCAGATATTCATGCCCCTTATTTAACTTCAGTACTCTGGAGTATTTCCTGAGAAGTATTGATTTATTCACATTTAATATATCCAACTAAAACCCAGGTTGTAAGGCAAAAAATTAGAAAGACTTCCAAGAGGGATGAATACGATTCCAAACCACTGAAATCACAGGTCATTGTGTTTGCAACGCAATACTCAATTTTTTCTTTCTCTTAATTTTTTTTGATGACCATGAGACCATGAATGAACAGTCTCCTGTATACCGTCTGACCTCCTTCAGCCTTATGTGTCCTCCAGATCCCTTAGACCTAATGATCATTTGCTTTTAGTTGTCCTGAGGTCCAGGCTGGTCCACAGTGGTGATTGGGTTGCATGAGTCATAGCTCGTAAACTGTGGAACCAGCTTCCCCTTCATATCAAACAGTCTGCAACTCTTAGAGTTTTTAAATCCCATCTTAAAACACATTTGTACTCATTGGCTTTTAATACAGCGCAAGAGTTGATCTTGCTTGCATTATTTTAATGGCTTTCTTTTATGTCTTGTCGTATTTTTAACTTGTTGCAATTATCTTTGTGGTCTATTGTATTCCGTATTATCTTTTTGCTGTTTGTTTTGCATGCAGTGCTTTGGCCAACAGCTAGTGTTTTTAAATGTGCTACACAAATTGGTTTGATTTTGATTCTTGACTGAACTTTTCTAACTTTTTTACATCCCCTGCTGAACAGGACTATCCTCGGAGCCCACACAGACACCAGCGTCGACGTGTCCGACCCCATCAGTGACCGGTTCTACAAGGAGGTGTGGATGACTATATCTGGCCGCAATGCTACCATTTATGAGAAGGTAAACAAGATATGTAGATTTATTTGGTGGGGAGAAAAAAAACTAAATTTACTTTAGTTAGTATGAATTCAAGATAGGAATCAGTTTGAAAGGAAACATGTTCAAACCAGAGGCGAATGCTGGTCCTCGAGCGCCACTACCCTGCATGCTTTACTTGTTTCTCTGCTCCAACACACCAGATTTGAATGAATGGGTGATTATCAGGCTTCTGCAGAACCTGAAGAGGTCATTTAAAGGCACAGTGTGTAGGATTTTGTCAATTATTTTAGCCGAAATTGAGATAATCACTAATGACAATAATAAAAAAACATGTCTAATCATTGCAGACAAAGACCTTGTTTTATTATTTTTATCTTATAAAAAGCTGTTTATATCTCCATGGTCGCGGGTCTCCACTACAGGCAGCCGCCATCTTGCACCGCCATCTTGTCTACGAAGGCTCATGAAGGACAAACTGCGGTGGCGGCGTCAATAACGGTTTTAGTTGTAATACTATAAATGTAATATTTGTTGTCTGTCATTGTAGCTGGGATCATTTTACTTATTAAAGCTCATAATCTTACCACTTGAAACATCACTAGCCCTGAAGCTGCTGGTAGACATCACAGTTGGAATTATCAAAGGTTTTTGACACCTGAGAGACACCGTAGCAACTCCTTTGCGTTTGGAAGCGGGGGGTGGGGGTGGGGGGAGGACCAGGGAGGATGATTCAACCACTCAACCACTAGATGTCGCTGAAAACAACAAATCCTACACAATGTGCCTTTAATCACAGACTCAAGTGTGTTGGAGCAGAAAAACAGGTAAAACATACAGAGATCCAGGATTGCTGACCCCTGGTTTAAACACATAAGGCAGATTAGGTGAAACGGTCCACCCCCCGCCCGCCCCCTTATTTATACTGTATTTTTATTTATTTGTTGTTGCAGGTGTTTCGTTGCCTTCCCTCTTCCCTGGTGAGGAATATGTCAGAGCTGGAACAGTTCCAATCCAAGCCCGTTTTGGCCCAGACCGATGTGGCCCGCGCCCAGGAGGAGCTGCGCAAAATCCGAGGCTTCCTCGTCCAGTTTCCTCTAGACTTCCTGTCTGAGCATAACCTGATGCCTTCTGTTGGAACCAAGGAGGCCATGGTCCCGACAGAGATCTGGACTTAAGGGACATGAACTCACCGCGGTTAACAACTGGCGAGAGACCAGAGTCAGACCTATTTTTCCCTGTCCTTCAAAGACTTGGCGCCACTGAGAGATCTCTCAAACCTGTTGCTACAGAAGAACACTAAAACGTAAAACTTATGATATGAAGCTTGATGTATGAAGAACAAACATTCAGCCTTAAGAACTGAATACTAACTGCATTCAAACTGAAGAAAACAGTGCATTTTGGGAATCAATTTTAAGTCTAGATGGTGAGTTTGAACTGAACACAGCCAGAGTTTCAAAGGGACCACAAAGAGGAAGTGAAAACAATTTAATGACGCTAACAAGAATTTTGTTATTTACTAAGAAAAAAAATAACCACATCAGATATGGAGATGCATGAGTCACCAAGTTCGTAATGTAAGTAGTTGATGCTTTGTGCAGAGTTGTTGAGCAGCGTATGTGCAGCTTTTTACAAATTCTCAGAGTTTGAAGGCATGTGATCTTACGTGGATCTGAAGTTTTATTTATCCAGCAGTGATGCATGAGTTAATCATCAAACTGTGTTCTTAAAGAAGCCATACAGTGTGTACAAACTGAACATTTGGTTTTAACAGTAAACCACTCTTCAGATAGTGAATTTTATTTTATTTATTTAAAAATTTTTATGAAAATTGTCTGAACACCTGAACATTCAAAAACAAGCAATCAAAAACACTACCTAGTTTGGATTTTATTTTTGAATGATGAAGGTAAAAATCAAACAAAAGTGGCTAAATGAGACAATCAGGATGTACTTTTCCTTTTTGCTCAGCAGATGGTGCAAGCTCCTGGGGGAAAAACAAACAATATTTTCCGCAGGGCATTTTGATGCCCTGTTGCCAAAGAGCAAAACATGGTTTATATAAAAAAAAAGGTTATAATTCAGCCCATTGAACAGAGAGTAGTCGATGAGATTGGTCATATTTTCAAGGTTTGACTGAAACAGCATAAAATCAGGTTTAAACTAGTGGTGGTGGCCCAGTACCAGCATTTTTACAAGTACTAGTATAAAATACAGCAAAACCATTACCAGTATTGAAACTGGGATACTAGTGTCGATACTCCAATAAATGTGTCACAGTTTACATTTCAAGTGAAAAATTTGTTCCATGTTTAAGAAATTTATACAAGTTGATAGAAAATCTTTTTTTTATTTTAAAATGTCACAACAGTGTACATCAGGCTGTGTATTTGGTTTGATCCAGTCAGAGGGGCTATAGGCCATAAATAAGGAGAGTCATCTTGTTCTAAATAAAATAAATGTTTTTAAATTAATTGTGTAATGTTTGGGTTCTAACTCAGTAAGTATTTGCTATTGCTGAGCTCTCAAACAGAAGTACTTGTACTCAGTTTGAGAAATACTTGAATTGGGGCACCCCTAGTTTAAAACCTCCAACTCTCTGGTTAGAGGACAGCTGCTCCAACCACTCTGCCACAGCCGCCCTATAATTTATGAGCAATATTTTGCATTACATAACAACTCCTTCCTTTACTGTTTCTGACAGTTGCTGTCTGACAGGAAGAAAACATTTCCTCTAATGGTCCAAGTTTCAGGACAGCTGTAGGTTTTACTTGGAATATTTGTCCCATCGTGTTTCAACACGAACCTCATCTAAATGAGAAGTTTAAACGGTAACTTCCTTACCATCCGTTAAATTCTATTTCATGTAAGGATGGTATAGAATGTTTCTGTTTGGGCATCGATGTCACAATCACTGGTTCTGATTTAAAAGAAGCGGGCTGTGGGACGTTTTGTTGAAAAGTAGGTTTTTTTGTTTAATGGGACCAGAAAATATGTGTTGCGATGAAGCTTGGAATCAATGTAATTTATGTTTTGGATAAATGTTTGATTTTCTCAGTTGTTTTCTCTCTGTATTTGTCAAAAAACTTATTTATAAAATATAAAGCATTTTCCATTCTTTAATCTTCCTTTTTAATATCAGTATAGTTGTATTAATTGTGGTTTTGTAAAGGTAAATTCTGTTTTTTTTTTTTGTTTTTTATAACCACTATGCAGATGTTACTTTTAACTCGATAAATTGTTCTTGGTGTCTGTTTTTTGCTATTATTTGCACAATCCAAAGTATTTTTAATTTCCATCTGTTCATTTTAAATGGTGTAATTAAATGGCTTCAACGTAAAATTATTGATTAAATTATTAATGTTCTCAAGAAAAACAGATGTTTGTACAAGTGATCCAGATAAGACAATTTAACAGGTGCAAAAATAGTGCAGACCACCCTAAAGCAAAGTGGCCCTACCGGTTTCCGGCTCAAGACCATGGTCTCGGCCGCTTCACACTCGGCTGTGAACCGCTCCAGTGAGAGCTGGAGAACACGATCTGATGAAGCCAATAAGACCACGTCATCTGCAAAAAGCAGAGATGCGATCCTAAGGTCACCAAAAASGATCCCCTCAACACCTCGGCTGCTCCTAGAAATTCTGTCCATAAAAATTATGAACAGAATCTGTGACAAAGGCAACCTTGGCAGAGTCCAACTGTCACCGGAAACGAGTCCGACTTACTACCGGCAATGCGGACCAAGCTCTGGCACCAGTCGTATAGGGACCTAACAACGGGCCTGGTACTCCATACTCCCAGAGTACCCCCCACAAGCGTCCCTGAGGGACACGGTCGAACACCTTCTCCAAGTCCACAAAACACATGTAGACTGGTTGGGTGAACTCCCATGCACCCTCCAAGGACCCTGCTGTGGGTGTAGAGCTAGTCCACTGTTCCACGACCAGGATGAAAACCACATTGCTCTTCCTGAGTCAGAGATTCAACTATCCGACGGACCCTCCTCTCCAGGACCCCTGAATAGACCTTACCAGGGAGGCTTAGAAGTGTGATCCCCCTATAGTTGGAACACATTCTACGGTCCCCCTTTTTAAATAGGGGGACCACCACCCCGGTCTTCCAATCCAGAAGAACTGCACCCGATGTCCATGTGATGTTGTAGAGTCGCGTCAACCAATGCAACCTCACAACATTCGAGGAGTTTTTTAACCACCTCAGTGACCTCGGCACAAGAGATTGGAGAGTCCAATCCAGGGTCCTCAGGCCCTCACTATACGTTTGGGTTTGCCAGGTCTGACCGGCATCCTCCCCCACCAACGGAGTCAACTCACCACCAGGTAGTGGTCAGTTGACAGCTCCGCCCCTCTCTTCACCCGAGTGTCCAAAACATCACAGATCAGATGAAACAACAACAAAGTCGATCATCGAACTGCGGCCTGGGGTGTCCTGGTGCCAAGAGCACATATGGACACACTTATGCTTGAACATGGTGTTTGTTATGGACAATCCATGACGAGCACAGAAGTCCACTAACAAAACACCTTTCAGGTTCAGATCGGGGTGGCCGTTCCTCCCAACCATGCCTCTACAGGTCTAACTGTCATTACCCACGTGAGCGTTGAAGTCCCCCAGCAGAACGAGGGAGTGCCCGTTAGGAGCGCTCTCCAGCACCCCCTCCAAGGACTCCAAAAAGGGTGGGTAATCTGAACTGTTGTTAGGCGCATAGTCACAAACAACAGTCAGGACCTGTCCGCCCACTTTAGGCAGGGGAAGCTACCCTCTCATTCACCGGGGTGAACCCCAATGTACAGGACCGAGATGGGGGGCAATAGTATGCCCACTCCTGCTCGGTGTCTCTCAGCATGGGCAACTCCAGAGTGGAAGAGTGTCCAACCCCTCTTGAGGAGACTGGTTCCAGAGCCAGATTGTTACACCGAGGTGGGTCCGACAATATCTAGTCAGAACCTCTCAACCTCACACACCAGCTCAGGCTCCTTTCCCACCAGAGAAGTGACATTCCACGTCCCTAGAGCCAGCTTCTGTAGCCGAGGATCAGACCGCCAAGGTCCTCGCCCTTGACCATTGCTCAGCACATATTGCACCCGACCCCTACGGCCCCTCCCACACAGGTGATGAGTCCATGGGAAGGGGGACCCACGTCTCCTCTTCGTGCTGTGCCGACCGGGCTCCATGGGCAAAAGCCCGGCTACCAGGCGCTCGCAAATGTGCCCCACCTCCAGGCCTGGCTCCAGAGTGGGGCCCTGGTGACCTGCGTCCGGACGAGGGAACACTCAGTCCATTTATCATACTCATCATAGGGGTCTTTGGGCTGCACTTTCTCTGATCCCTCACCTAGGACCTGTTTGCCTTGGGTGACCCTACCAGGGGCATGAAGCCCCCGACAACATAGCTCCTAGGATCAATGGGACACTGAAACCTCTCCACCACGATAAGGTGGCAGCCCAGGGAGAGGCCTTGCAAACAAGTTAAATATAAATGCAAAAACAGCAACCACAACCAATTTCAGGTTTAATAAATCACATTGTGGTGCTAAATGTTTATATTTGCATATCGTCCTCCCAGAAATAATCAGCAAGTATTTATGATAGCAAACACATCCACAGTGTATACAGTTCAGCTACTACCACAGCAAATTACAGCTCAGTATTTGTATAACTGACTCAGTTATAGCTGTTTTTGTGTAAGCTAATGTTGATTAGATGTGGCAGCCATCTTGAATTGGGGTGACTCCAAAAGGTAATCAGTTGTAGTTTAGTTGAATTAAAATCTGTCCACTGGTTTATGATATATTTTGCTAACAGACGTAGTTGACGCGAAGCTGTTAAAACACATCAGTTTGTGCTTGGAGGATATGGTTAGGGTCATTATAGGGTTATTTTAGCTCAGTATTTGCAAATCTAGTTGAATTACAGCCCGTTTTGTGTTTGGTTTAGTGGCAGCCATCGTCGATTGGGTTGCCTCCAAAAGTTAATCAGCTGTAGAAGTACATTCACTGATTACTTAATGAGAATTTTCACAAAGAGATTCTTCTTTACTGGAAACTCATTTTTTAATCAAAACTTTACTCCACATAATACCCCGGTGTGGAATAATAGATATATTTTCATCAAAAGAAGATCCTTTTATATGGATGAATGGTTGTCTACAGGAGTGTGGGCTGTTTCTCATTTTATGGACAATGAAGGAAACATTTTACAGCATCAAGAGTTTTGTAATAAATTTCAAATACATTGCACTAGGATTAAGTATAAACAAATTATAAAAGCTGTTCCAATATCCCTTCAGGCTATGGTTAGACAAGACATTTTATATTCTGAAGTTACTCCTGAGAAAACTCTACATTGATGAAGTCCCCTTCTCTGACTTTCGGTGTAAGAAATTTTTTTTAAGGAATACGTTATTACTTTATTACTCTCCTAATACAATTAAGAGGAAATATATCCTGAATGACTTTTAAACACTGCAAAAACTGTCCATCTTACCAAATTTTAAAATCTTATATCCAGCCAAAATGACTTTTTGATCTTGTTTTGAGACTAATTTACTAAACCAGCACTGATTGTGTAAGAATAATAATCTTGTTTTCAGAATATGTAAGATTATTTGTCTTGTTAGTCTAAAAATTTGACTCAAATTAAGTAAAAAAAATTCCTGCCCATGGAGTAAAAAAATTTTACTTGGTAAGATTCTTGAAATAAGAAAAAAATTGAGTCAAATCAAGTTTTTTAAGAATCTTACCAAGTAAAATTTTCTTACTCCATTGGCAGAAAATTTTCACTTAATTTGAGTCAAATTTTCAGACYAACAAGACAAATAATCTTACACATTCTGAAAACAAGATTATTATTCTTACACAATCAGTTCTTATTTAGTAAATCAGTCTCAAAACAAGATCAAAAAGACTTTTTGGCTGGATATAAGATTTTAAAACTTGGTTAGGTGGACAGGTTTTGCAGTGAAAGAAGAGATTAAAATGATTAGAATTAAATGTTTATGATTTCCAATCCCACCTAAAGCAAAAGTGTAGAGGTTTTGTTTTCACCTGCATGTGTTTTCCTCATGAGTGCTGTTGGCAGTTGATTGGCTGGGCGGAGTTTCTGGATGGACTCACCTGTTGGCAGTTTCCTAATGAACCTCCACTGGTATTTAAGCTGCCATCAGACATCCATCTGATGCTGGATTATTCAGTCATTTTGAAATTGTTTGCCTGCCTGAATACTTACCTTGTTGTTGAACCTGCTTTCCTGAACTCCTAAGGAACTCCATGGTCGTCCTCCGGCCTGCCTCTCCTCTCTCCAACAAATGAAACCAACCTGAAAACACAAAAGTCACATGCAAGGAACAAAATCCTCAACTGGAAACTTACCTGTGAAACCATCTCCTGGATCCTTCTCTCTGAGCCGACTTCTTCAACAAAACAAACTGTGAGAATAAACAAACATTAATTAATCATCTTCCCTCCTGGACTTTCAGAAAACTAAAAACCTGTTTTCCTTTACAGGTAAATACTTAGCACATCACTGCAAATAAAAACCACTTATCTTTTACTACCATTGTCTGCCTGATTCTGTTCAGGACAAGTGTTGTGGTTCATGTGGGTAGTTTGAGGAAACTAAAGCCTAACAAAAAGAAATTCAGTTTAAATCTATAAATAGAATATACCCCACTAACGAATTTTTAATGGATACTGGAAAATATAGCTTCTGTGAGACGGAGAGTGAAAACCTGGAACATCTTTTTATTTTTTTGACTGCACGATAATTTAAAAATTTTGGTTTAACTTTCAAATCTGGATCCAGTCTAAAAATATTCAACTACCTGCTTTCACCTCAAAGGAAATCTGATTTGGAATATTTAATGTTTGCGATAGTTATGAATATGGTATCAATATTTTGATTATTTTAGCTAAACATTATTTACACAAATGCCGTTTCTTTAAATGCAAACCTAACATGTCCCATTGGAGGAATGATTTAAAATCATATTCAAAGTCCTTAAAGTTTGTCAAGGAAAAAAGGGCAGGTAAATTTATTTTTTWGGAAAGTTTAATTTCATTGAATAAACTCTTTCTCATGTTCAAATGTTAACACAATACTTGATGATGGCCCTTCTTAGTATATGTTCTTTATTTGTCTTGTTTTTTCTACTGTTAATTTTACGTTTACTCATGTCATAAAGGGCCTTTTTGAATGTAATTGTTCAATGCAAAAAGTGGGTACCTTTTTTGTTATGGAGTGAAAGCTTGTAAATAAAGATTTTTAAAAAAAATTGATGAGAGTCTAATTAAAATCTTACCTGTGGTTCATGAGATATTTTGCTAACAG